TCGATATGGATACGCTTGCTTCTTTTCTTCCGGCAGCTCTTTGCAAAACGTCTGTTGTTTGCTTAAGTGCTTTTTTGTTTTAGTCGGTATTAAAAGCTCATTTTTTACGTAAAAAATTACCCGAAAAAAAGTCTTTTCATAAAATTACGGAAGCGTTGTTTGTGCTTAACCGTTTCGAAATTTTATTAAGCTGTGCTGAGCATCAATGCTCCTTTTTTTTAACGAATTTAAAAATTTGCACAATTTCAGTGAACTTTTCTCAACGTTGCCATTGTTTCCTGCACATTCACCAAAACAGTACTTGAAGCTTTGCGGAGAAGATGTTTTTGTTGATGGTCCATTTGAAGTGCATCCTGTTCGGGTTCGTGTTCCATTTCTCAAATCGAAAAATTTTTCATTTCAGAATTTTCGAAAAAAAATTTTCGTTGAATCGAAAAATTTTTGTGCACTTCTTGCAGCTAATTTTTCCATTTTTCTCTATTTTCTAGTGCATCTTGGATTACAAGAGTTTTCAGATTAATTCGGTATCGATGGAATCGATTGATGCGATACTGGTATCGAACTGGATGTCTCTTGTTGCTTTGCCGTTCTTCACTGAAAATACCAACTTCTCAGGCGCTGTGTTTGCAACGGATCCGACTCTTCAGCTTGGCCGGTAATCTAATGCCTCTTGTTTTAAGCATTTCAAAAAAGCTGGAGGGGGATAATTCTTTGGGCAGTAGTTATTGAAATACCTGTGAGCTATTTAATTTAACTCTTATTTGCTGACGGACATGCCGCAGCGGTAAAAAGTGCTGCCTGTCGCGTTCTCCTGAGGGTCGAAAGTTAGACTTTGACGGTAGGCATTCAGTGTCATGAGTAACTCACGAAAAATCGATAAGGAATCCAGCAAAAGAGAGAAATCCATAATGCCTGAGGAGGGGGGGGGGGAGAGCTGCGGCGAAGGGATGGGGAGGAAAGGGCAGCCAGGAAAACCTTGAAAGGCAGATACACAGTAGATGTGCAGCCAGGCAGAGCTTGGACACAAGAACCGGTGGTGTAGTGGGTAACACGTTGCATTTGAATGTGAAGAGGAATGGTTCGATTCCTTCCCGGGCCCACAACTACTTTTGAAAGAAAACTCCGTTCACGGCGTCCAATCCTTCTACAATTCGTTCACAGTTTCGAACATTGGTGCATGTCATGAAATGAAAACTGCCATCAGCTTGCGTTTATTAGTTCTCAAAAGATGAGGCAGTCCACAGCCTTCAAACGTGTGATTCTTGGTACTTGTTACGCGTGGTTCTTCGAGCTAATTTCAAGTGCTTGGGCCTGGTCGAGAGTGAAAATGCGAAAGCGGTTCTAACTTTTAAGCTATCATATTGTGTGCAGATCATTATTTACCTAAATTTTCAGATTAGTTATGGAAGAATTGCTAGATTTTTTTGATCGCGCTGATCGAGAAATAAAAGATAATTCGTGGAAGAAACCGGATTTATTCATGTGAGTTCTGATCTCTTTTTTCAACAGCAAAAAAGATTACTCGGAATAATAGAATCAGGTTGTATTTCGCGTCCCGTTTCTCCAATTTATGCAGCTGGGAACTTTTCAAGTTTTTTTGACCAAAGCTGCATCGTCTGGAAGTCGCTGGCTGATGACCTTAATATTCGTTTTTTCTGTCTCT